TCGTCGTTGTCGTCGCCATCATCATGATCATCATAATTATGAGAAGTTTAAGATTATTTTTCCAATGACAAATACTTAAAAATATACATTTCATCATTATCATCATCATCATCATCATCTTAATTAGCATCATTATTATCATTATTATTATTATTTCCCTTTGGATAGCTGAGGTTAATGCTTCAAAGACCGGCTCGCTAGGTGACAGAGGAGTTAAAGGAGAGCTGATGGGGGTGGAATAGAGAGAAGTGAAGGATGCAGTGGAGGCTTTGTGTTGAAGAGAAGGTCAAGTTAGAGCTCTTTGGTTTTATTCTTTAACATCTGACTCGCGTTGCTGTGTTGCTGCAGAACCTTTGGACTAAAGCTGTATTGTAGAGGAGAGAGAGAGAGAGAGAGAGAGAGAGAGAGAGAGGAAGAGTGTGTATGTGTGGATGAGAGTGGGTGAAGGAAGAAGTAGCAGCTTGTTGTTTTCTTTGCTCGCCGTGCCTCTCCTACTCCAACAACAGTTACATCTCTCATGGCTTCATGTTCAGAGTTATTTGCTTTTTATCAGGATTTTCCTTCTGATTCCAATCAAGTTCAAACACTGACTCTTGCATTTTAAAGGAATAGTTTCACATTATGAGAGCATATGCTTATTCACTTTCTTGTATCTGCATGGTAAAAATGAAGCTACAGCTAGGAGCTGCTTACCTTAGCTTAGCATAAAGACTGGAAACAACTGCCCTCGCTCTGTCTAAATGAGCTGGAAATTATGAATCACTTTGCTGATTCAAATCACTTCGCTCCCTTCAGATATGTGTAGTCACAGACTATGCAGTTTGTTCACTTGTTTTTTTTGTTTTTTTCCCTTCTTCTGAGTCGAGCACTCACTGTTCAAATGTACTACAGTGTGAACAGCAGGAAGCAAACTCATTCCCATTCATAACGCTGTAATGTTCAGTGCTAAGTTCAGGCTGTTGAGAGCTACTACTTTCAGTTCAGCACAGAAACAGGCTGTTTATAAGTTGAGCAGCCTCCTATTTGCACCAGAGTGATCACACAATTTTTTTTTTTTTTGGTTAACCAGGCAGTAACACGCTGTGTATCAAGGCTGAGCTGGCAGTGGTGCTTTTAGTCACCAGTGAGTGGAGCTCCAGTGTAAAAAGCTACTGACAATGATGACTCAGTGTAGTCAGTTGTCTCTGAAGATAAAGGGCACCTCTACAGCTCTGTGACTTTACATCTTGTTTGTATAATCTGTTCAAAAACCACAGCGGTTTGAAGTTGACAGGCTAGCTGTTTCCCTCTCCAGTATTTATGCTAAGCTAAGCTAAAAGGCTGCTGGCAGATTTCATATTTACCATACAGATATGAGAGTGGTATTTCCCAAAAAGATGAACTATTCCTTTAAAGCTACTTTTATACTTGTCTACAGAGAAAATGTAATTGCGTGGAGAAAGAGATGCTAATGAATTTGCTGGCAGATCATCTATATGGAGGAAAGTGGAGTTTCTAGCACTTAGGTGGACGTCAGGATTTTAGGGAGCGTGTGCATCGTGCTGCATCCCGTGGCAGGGCATTGACTTTGGTATCATTCACTAAGGGGGTATCCCCACCAAAGAGACCTGCACTTGACACCCAGTCCCTCAAAACCCAGTGGCTCCAAGAAAAGTGCATCTCCACTTCAGTTTCCTCGGTTTGATGAAATGCACACCTCTCCCTTCAACTTCCACTTTCTCAACAAACACAGAGTCGTGAGAAGTGTCTGGATGCGTCACCTAGCAACCTCGGTCTCAGCCGTTCCCCAGTTACTTGCCCTGCGGCACTCCCTGATACACACGGACATCAAGTGGTCAATGTGCCCCCTCATCAGGCAATAAAGACCTAAAGGCGAGAGAGGGCTCGGCGACCTTGGTGATAAAGTTGCTCTGAGGCACAAAACGAAAAGCTTTTTTTGAGCCAAAAATGGATCCAGGTTTGATCCTAGATCTGTGCCAAACAGCAGCTTTAAGCCCACTGTCCATGTTTGACAGGGAGGAAGCAGCGAGGGTCAGATATGAGGAGAGGGCTGTGTTCAAAGCTCAACACAGACAGCGGGGGTTGTATTCCAGGGGGACAAGGTATGTGTGTGTGTGTGTGTGTGTGTGTGTGTTTGTGCACAGGAGCATGAACCAGTTCGGCCTTTTGACCTTAAATGGCACCTTCTGGGCCCAATGGCAAAAAGCTGCAATCTATTCAATGATCTGTTACTTCCCAGATCGATCCTAAGCCTCTGTGGTTACCTCCATTAGGACAACGACTTTTGACCTGGCTTCACTGTGTCTGCTCCCGGCCACACGAAACACACTGTCCACACGTACCATCCCGGTACCCTGATCCCCACGTGAACCCCGCATTTTAAAGCATTCATCTATTTGGTTTATCATCAAAGAATATGAGGTATATGATGAACTATCTCTCTTTTACACCCTACAGTGGATGAAGAAAAAAGTTGAAACACAATTTACAGAAAAGTGAGAGATACAGAAACATAAAAAAAGAGACAGAGACAAACTGAGAAGTTAGAGGGTAATTTACGGCTGGGAATCCAAAATCACCCTCTTTCTCTTTTGCCTCCTTCTTTCCTCTCTATCATGTAAAAAACTTCAGTCTTTGCCCCAGTTGATCTTCTTCTTCTTTTGTGTTTTTGGTTGTGTAGCTGTAAAGCTTTCAGTGTGTTCTCCCTGTGGAGAAAATATAGAGAACAGAAGCAGCACTGTGCCTCAGAGAGCACCTCATGCTGTAACTCAGGCAGTTTTTTCACACATAAATCATATTTATGCTTTGAAACAGAATTTCATTTCACTTGCCTTTTTTTGTCTCATTATCAGGAGACACAAAGGCAAGCGTGTGTCCGGAAAGCTAATACCAAATTCACGGTGTTCATCCACACAGTGCTGCCTCTCACTACTGTGAGCTTCCCCTCCCCTTTAAGACGTGAGTCGTCTCAGTGAGGAAGAGAATATCTTTATGGCCGACCGTCAAATCAGCCATATTCTCTTATTAAGTCCCCACAGGACCCGAGGTTGCATTTCTTGTAGGATTATTTGGTTTAAAGAGGTAAGAAAGAACTTCAGCAGGGGGCAAAAAAATCCAAAATCCATCACAAAATATGTCCCAGAATATGAAAAAAAGCACCTCTAGAAATAAATTAACAAATAAATAGCAAGACAAAAAAGAATACAAGCGAATAAATCAACCCTACCTGAATAAATAGTACAATCAAAAGTCTAAATCATCATTGATAAGGAGAAATAAAAAGTCCAAAGAGAGATAGTTAAAATTTTTGGTCTAAAATCAAGTTATTATCATCAATGTTTTTTAGGATCTTTTTTTTTCTCAAAGTCTTTTTTGTAAGTTTTTTCTTTTTAATACATTAGCGATAAGTAAGCAGTAGAACATAGATCTTTTTTCTACAAAATCTATAGAAGCACTAACAGATACATTCCGTCTAAGAGTCAATGTGGAGAAAAGGTTTCACCTTTAAGGTGCAAACCCCACATCTAAAGTTTGGTTCGTGAAACGATTCTCGTGTGTCAACTGTTTTTCTGGTGTGGACCAAACCAAATATTCTTTGGATACGTCTACGTCCAACTTTCAAACCGTCAGCTTGACCGAGGCTGTTTCTGTGTGTATCATTCTGCATCTTTAAGTGTCATCACTGCAGTACCAATTCATTTTCTTTTCTTTTTTTCCCCATCCCATTAACATATACAGAAAAACACACGCTTTCACCTCAGACAAACTGACACTAACCCATTACTTTGCCCTCATGCAGAGAAGGCAGTTCCTGTTCCTCTCTACATGTGTTTGGTTTAGTTCAGTATTTGGTTTGGCATTTTTAAGGTTTGCTATTCAACTCTTTGTTTTTGGCTTTTTGTGTTTGTCTTTTTTCTGCCAAGACAGTCTGTTTCTTTATCTAATAAAAATCTGGAAGCTAAATTTTCACAGTATTTTTTCCAACCACCTGATAAAAATCTCTAGCACGACTACGAAAAAAATAAGGAGCTCTTGTAGTAAGTAAGCGAGTACGTTATCCCAAATGAGTAATAAGCACTAAAGTACAGTACATAAAACGGCATCAAGAGACACAGCAGAGATAAAACAATCAGAACCAACCAACAGAAAAATAAAAACAGATTTTTTAGAAGATTTCAGTTCAGTGAGGTCATTTGCGTTTAGCTCCATCCAGGACCAGAGAGCTGAGCTGGAGAGAGGCAGAGGAGGGGAGGAATTGTCTGTCCTTCTTCTGCTCGCCTGTCTATCTGCCTGTCTTATTTATCTCTCTATCCATGCTACACAGTTTCAGAGTGGGGCGAATGCTGCAGCCCTAAAGCTAACAGACAGACAGACAGACAGACAGGCAGAGCGATGCGACGCCTTCATCTCTTTCAACACCTGCACTTTGTCCTCCTCCCCTCCTCCCTCCAGCCACATTTGGTTAGGGTTCTTTTTGGTTTGCTTCTGTCATTCCTTGGGTTGTGTGTTTTTTTTGTTTTTTCTTTTTTGGTTTGGGTTTATTTTTGGTTTCCTCTTACAAAAAGTGTGACACCTGCTCCCCCTCACTACAGTGTGTCCCTCCCTCGCCTGTCCCAGCGTACCCTTCTTTCTGGGGGTTCGGAGTAAAGGATCAGTTCCCTAAATAAAGCTTCCCCCGTGGGTTTTGCGACAGGCCAGGTGGAGGGGATTACACCAGGGGGGCTTCCAGTGGTAATGTCCTGTTCTCAGCCCCCGCTGCATCCCACCCCCTTGGTGTCTTTATTGTGTTCATATGTCTGGGCTGAGGCTCTTAAAGACGAGGCCGGCCTTGAGAATGCTTTGGTTTCTATTTGAGAATTAATGGCAGTCTGAGGTGGAAAATGACAGTGAAATGTGACTGATGGAGTGATGATGGAAACAGACAAATATCAGTAAACATGTCTAGACAGACAGGTGTCGCGGCGTCTATGCTGATTGACGAGGCAGGAATGAGAGCCAGCTGTGACTAAACTTGGCTTTATTGACTTATTTAGCCTTCAGTCTCAATGTTTATTACTTTAAATCTCCAATCACAGCCCTATTTCATACTTTCAAAATGGTCGCCACTCTTAACAAACGTCATTTTCAGTGTGTGAAGTTTCCAGGGCATGTTCATTTAGCCATGGAGTCACTGATAATGGGTTATCTTTAAGAGTGAGGAAAAGAGTGGTCTGATTAAGAGCACAAAATGCCACATGCTTAGGTCTTAATAAATTCATTCACACCTTGAAATCAACTTGCAGAGTGCCAACTCTATTTCTGATCTACTGGCACTTGGTGAGGACTGAGACGACATCTTTTCACCTACGTCATCTCTGTTCCTGCAGAAGAGTCACATTCAAGACAAAATGCACGTTGATGACACAAATATGTATGATGAAGATAAAGATGATGACAATGATGATGATATAAATCCTATACTGTAAAACTAAAAAAGTGTGTGACAATAAATAGGAGCTGGATTGTAAAATGACACTAATAAATAATAATAATACAAAAAATCCCATCTGTACTTCACAAAGTGTAAAAAATAGATACTGAATAACAAGACTCTGTCAGGCGAATTTGAAATAAAAAGGAGAGAGGAAAGCTTTTCTATGCTCTTAGAACCAGAGGTAGGTAAAGAGACTAATGACGCATAAGACGCATGAAGATACAGCAGAACTGGCAATCACAAGCTTTTGCCTCAGTAACAGGCTTTTACAAAATCATCCAAAATATCTAGCATGAAAACCTATGAGACACACATGAGCTGACACAGACAGGATGAGTAGATGGCAGGATGGATTGGCTCTTGATGTGTGTATGTGTTTGTGTGTATGTGTAAGTAGCAGTAGCAGTAGCAGTAGCAGTAGAGTCCTGGTCCTGGATAGCTTCAGTATTTACACGTCCTTTGAATAAAGCTTTTCTCTCCGTATTTTTGGTATTTGGGATTTTGGTATGGTTGACTTTTTTTTTTTTTTTCTTTTTTTTTTTTTGACATTGTGTATTCCTCCTCCGTCTACTCCTCAGGTAAATTTTTGGTTTAAACTTATCCTCCCTACTCCTCTTCCTTCAGACCCGCAGCTTTTCAAAGTAATAAGAAAAAAAAGAAAACGTAACCACAGTCCTCCTCTCCATTTTTTTTGTCCTTGCCGCCATTCCTTTGTCACATAGTAAAGTTATCTTTTGTCATTTTTGGTTTATGCACTTCGACATGCATCTCTGCTGTCTCTTCCGTCTCTTTGTCAAAGAGTCATTGGTTTGTTTTCCTTCAGAGAGAAAGAGTGGAGAGGTGCCATGTCGATATCACACGTTATTGACAAAAAGGTCCCACGTTGCCTCCTCTCCATCTGTTTTGATAGATAAAGATTTTTGGTTTCAATCTTCCCCTTTCCCCCCTTCTCCCCTCTTTCACTTCTTTCCCTCCCTCTCTCCTCTTTCATTCTGTGTATTTTTGGCATCGAAAGACTGGGAGAGAGAGAGAGAGAGAGCCATTGCAAAAAAATAACGGAAGAAGAGCGCAAGAGAGAGAAAGAGATAGCTTTGGTGTGAAAGGCGAGGTTCTCGTTTCCCCCTTCCTCCTCCTCTCTGATTGGCCCTTGGCGTGGTCACTCAATCTTGGCTCCACCCAGAGAGGGCGGGCTGTGTGCCATTTCGCTGGAGGAGCAGGAAGAGGCGGGGCTGGAACAAGGGGAGGGGGAGCAAGGGGTGGGGCTGATGCTGCTGGCCGAGGGGAAGGGGGAGGGATGGGAGGCTTTGGCTACGGCGGCACTGACCAGTCCAGCGCCGGGGTTCTGGGCCATGTGGAGGAGGGCGGGGTGGTTGAGGAAGAGGGAGGAGGCGAGGCCCGCTCCCTGGCCCCCAGAGGCCCCCAGAATCACCTTACTGCCCCCCTCAAGACTGGAAAGAGGCAGCTGGCCACCACTGGCTGCTAGGGCTGAGGGAGAGAGAGAAGAGGAAAAAAGTTAAAGGAAATTCCACCATCAGACACTTTCACTCTATTCCAGAACAAACTATTTTGCTTTTGCTATTATCTTTTGGGCCATGTGTATTCTTCTTCCTTCTCTTTCTCAGGTAATTTTTTGTTTTAAGCTCCTCCTTACTCCTCTTCCTACAAACTCTTCATGCAAAGAAAATGTAAGCACAGTCTTGCTCTCCTTTTTTTCTCCATAAGTTATCGTTTTTCTCTTTTTATCTTTTTCTGTCATTAATAAATAATATCCAGCGTATTCAAGGTGTTTGTTTGTTTAGGAGTTAAGTGTGTAAATATCTTTTCAGCCTATCAACCTTCTGTCAGCCTTCCTCATCGTACACCACTCATGTTTATCATTTCCTACAGCACTGAGCCAAGCCACAGAAAGTGCCCAGACCTGTTGTATTCAATAGAAGTAGGTGGAGAATTACCGTCACCATTTACTTTAGATGGAAAACCCAGGGAGTGGCCACGGGGTGCCAAAAGATTTGTTATTCTGTCAGAAGTGCTGCATGCACCTGATTGTTTTTCTGGGGGGAATCACTTGAATGACAGTTGAGAAACTTTTAACTTTTCCAAAGAAAGCACAAAGTGACATCAACCACATTTCAACACAGTGCCAATAGAGACAGAAAGGCCGTGGTAATAATTGAACATTGTCTAATATCTGTAGCAAGCTAATCTTGTAGAATCAGACACAGCACAGTAAAAGTAAGCGGACACAAATGGCCTGTTGTTATGGAAACAAGGTCGATAACTGTGGCTGTTTTTCCCCTTTATAAACACGTTTCATAGAGAGCTTCTTCTTTCACTATGAAAATGGTACATGTGAGCACATTTGTGATTGCATAGCAACAATAAAACAGTTTTGGTTTACAACTCGAAGTGCAAAATGTCTTGTGGCTACTTTTGGTGAAGAAACTGTTTTGTTTTCTGCCTCCTCAGTGATCAATCTCTCGGTTATGACTACTGAACAGCAAAGTGGTGTGAAATGGTGAATCCAAAATGTGATCCTGAAGGTCTGACACCAAAGCCTGACATTTACTGTTGATGGTTTGAGGGTTTTATGATCTCAAATCCTTTGTAGTTGTAGATATTTACATAAAAATAAGAAAAAAAATCCTCCAAAACAGCTCAATGAACGACAAAGAAGAACAAAGCCGGTATACAAGTGTGTAAAATGTTTTTGGTGACTTTTCCTTTTTAACACTCATCTTATTTGGCTAATGATGAAATGAAGAGATGAAAGGTTAAAGATGAGTGAGACAGCACAGACGCACACACAAAAACACAGCCCACACAGTAACGTAACCGTCGTCACTCACACACACACACTTGATGGGATGGATTCATGGATGTCGATGGCGACATATGAGAAATAAGTCCACAACTCTGTTGCCTCGGCTGCTTCACACTGTGGATGAGCAAACACCCGCAGCTGCCTATTCATCTGTGTCTCCAGTCAGCAGTCTACCAGCGCGATTTGATGCACCTGTCATGCGTAACTGTATTACTCACCATCCCACTTCTCTTTTTAAAACGTCTCTCTCTCCCCCCTTCTCATCCTCATCAACACAAAGAATGATCAAAAATGAGCTCTGCTGACGGTGGTCAGGACTGTTTGATGGTCACTTCTGCGGGATTGTAAACAATTTTTTTCCATGTGCTATTCTTGTACTGTTTTCAAGTGTAGGGAGGTGTGAGTGTGTGTGTGTGTGTGTGTGTGTGTGTGTGTGTATGGGGGGGGGGGTTTGGGGGATGTGTCATGTACAGTATGCGGCTGAGTTTGAGCATTTATGTGTGTGTAGGAGTGTATATGTTTGTGTATGTGATTGAGAGAAGGAAAATGTATCACCTGCCACCAGAACTTAAAAAACGATTTTCTTTGGTTTTTTATGTGTCCTGTGAAGATTTTTCCAGAGATGCAATAATTAAGAACACCTCCACCTCGAACCTCTGCATTACATTCTGTTTGTCAGTGGTGCTGATAAACCCATTTGCTTTACAATGTCTCTCTCACACACACCTTGGATAGTGGCCAGGGGATTGTTACCGAGGAGGGCTTGGTTCATCCCTGTGTTAACTCCCATCACAGTGTTCCTGTTGTGTCACATGCACACACATACACACACGCAGCACCATACACGTGCAAGCATATATACGAACACAGACAGGCAGAGGAGAAAAGGTGAGAAAAAAAAAGCAGGTTTGGCAGTAAAGACAAACAGAGGGCAAATTCAGCCCTGCACATATAAAAAGCTGTACAGGTTTAATAATAATAAAAAAAAAAAGAGGTTAGACATGCGGAAAGAAACAGATCATGTTGAAAAATCTTATAAAACATCAAAACATGTTCATTAATTATACAAGGATAACAATGATTCAATGCTGTATATCTGCACGTAGGTGTCTCTGTCGTATTCACCTCAAGTTTGCAGCAAAATCGGTGATGTAGTTAGACACGTCACCGTTCTTTTTACCCATACGCCATAAGCTGTGAACACAAGAACCACACACACAAACACACACAGGGTTAGAATACACTGCTGCACAGGCGAAGCAGTGGCACCCAATGGCATTGCTGGGATATCAGTGTGTGTGTGTGTATGTGTGTGTGTGTGTGCACAAACAATTACTGTGTGTGTGTGTGTGTGTAGAGTATCAACTATTTAACTACAAACTGCAGGTGAACCGAGCATGGCGCAGTGCAGTATTCATGGTGAGCGTGTGTTTATGGAAATATGTGGTTGTGTGTAGTGAAACTGTTTGTAATGTGTGTTTAAATGTTTTGCCTACATTTATTCAGTTGTGATGGCCACCGAGGACAAAGAAACAATGATTTTTAAATCAAAAATATTCTAATTCAGATGAAAAGCAAACATAGACCTAATACTTAAAGGGCCAGTTCCCCAAAATTACAAAAAAAAAACAAAGCAGATACTGTAGGTTTTGCTTAATTTGTTAAGATTTTGCAGCAACAATCTCTCCACCAATCTGAGATTTTTGAAGCCAACCTTAACACACTGAGGAAGAACAGACTTTAGTCTGTGGTGCTCTCAACAGTGAAACAGAAACATGTTATTTTCCCACAGAAACGAATTACTTTGGATAAATTAGTTTTAACGGGGGCTAATAGGGCGCTGCAGGAATGAGCCCTTAACCTGGGAAATTAGTTTTAGCACCTCTGGTTCCCTCATCCTGAAGTCTTTGGGTTTTTGGTTAGATGCCTGAAACAAGGTTTGTGGTTAACACAAGCTCAAGACATTATATTCAACAACATAAATACCCCATTGTCATTTCTTAATGCTTTTACAAGCTTTCTGTTGAGGGAACCAGGGCGATGCTAACTTCCGGGTTGGCCTACAAAAATACATCATCCCAGCAGCACTCTACTATTTCATCAGCAGAAAGCAGTAGAGGAGAGGTGTTGCTCTTGAATTTTTAAAATGTAACATTTCGAACGACACCACAAACAAAACTCAGTTCACCTCCGCTGTATTGAAGTGGAGGCAGAAATCTCAGCGTCACGTTATGCTCGAAAAGAACTAGTTCGTTTGACACGTTATCCGGCTACACTGAAAGGTTAGTGTGTTTATAGTTGTTCTGAATGGCCATACTCTAAAGCAGAGTGCCCCTCAGAGAGCAGGCATGCCATAACGGCACACGTTTTCAGACATCTCTCCTGGAAGGCATTCGTAGTGTTGTGCTCGTTTGTTCACACAAACAGAGACAGAAATTCTTGTGTAAAGATTGAAAAAATAGGACTTGAGGGAAAGTTGAAACTCTGTCTAAAACCGTAAACACCAGAATGGCAAGGTAAGCTTTTTTCTTCATAATTAGGGTGAATTGACACCAAATCTGCCCTCACCACACCTGCTGTGAAGTAACTCACTGCGGAGAGGGCGTGTTCTGAACGTCTTACCCTGTGTTAAGATTGAGTGTGCTGTGGCTGGGAGTGGCTGGGCTAGCCGTGCTGCGGGGAGGAGGAGTCACCGGGGAGGGTGCGGAGCTGAGAGAGGGGTGGGTTGAGCTGAGGGAGGGGTGGGTGGAGGTGAGGCTGGAAGTCAGGGGGCAGACGGAGGACATGGTGGTCACTGTTGTGCTGCTGAGACTGGTAACGGCCTGCGACAGCTGGCTGGACATCTGGCTGGACATCTGGCAGAGAGACAGAGAGACGCATTCAGGTTTACAGACAGCTGAATAACAGGGTCGTGTTAATAACCACTTATTCATTAGAACTCAGGATACAGGAAGGGGACCTGAGGACTGTGATGCATTTGTGTCCATTAAACTAACAGGTGTATCAGGGACGTCAAGGTTGGATATTTACCATGTGAGGGCTGTAGCAGGGCGGTTTGTGCGTTGGTGGGGCAGTGGGGGGCTGGCTGGGCAGGGGAGGGGTGGCACTGGTGGGATTGATGCGCTTCTCTTTCTGCCGGCGGTTGCAGAACCAGACCCGGATCACCTCCTTCTCCATGTTGAGCTGCTCGGCGATCAGCAGGATCTCTTCTGAGGTAGGCTTCTGGTTCTGCAGGAGGAGAGGGAGACGGGAACTTAGATTTATTTAATCAGCGCTATGTTTCAGCCACATGATTCAAAACATTAAAAAAAACACCAAGACATAAATCATAGATGACTCCATAAAAACAGTATCAAGCAGCTTCAGTTACTAAATGAATTTGCCCCCGTCACAAATGTGTTTTGTTTTTTTGGGCCAAAAATCAATCAATCCAAGAAAAGCTTGTGAGGTAATTTGAGAGTGAAGGATCCTGTTTAATCAGCTTTTTCTCATTTCTAATGAATTTCAACTTTAAAAAAAAAAAAATCAAATAATAAGGTTATTTATCGTCTTTACCGTCATGAATGAGCGTTCCAGGGCCACACGTACATTCGTCTCGATGCTGGTTCTCTTCTTTCTGCGGCGACCAGGAACCCCCTCGAAGCCCAGAGAGGGAGAGGACAGGGAGCTGGGGCTGGGCAGGGTACTGTCTATGGACATAGTCTCTGAGGGAGAAAAACAAACAAACACAAACATAAAAACAGACTGAATGTCAGACTTCCATACTTTTTCCATACTATTTAAGTAGGTTCTGTAAACATATACGAGACTAACTGCTGAGTGCTGTTATTTTTGATGAGAGCTCACCTGCGTCATTGAGCCACTTCTCCAGCAGTGGCTTCAGCTTGCACATGTTCTTAAAGCTCAAATTGAGGGCTTCAAAGCGGGAGATGGTTGTCTGGCTGAAGTCGTTGCCATACAGCTTCCCCATGGCCAAGCCTACGTCTCCCTGATGGGGGAGATAAAAGAAGGAAGTTGTAGACAAGTCAAAACACATCTATGAACAGGAAACATTTGGTACACGTGTGACCTGCATGTGTCCCTCCGTACCTGTGTGAAGCCCAGTTTGATGCGTCTCTGTTTGAAAGTGCGGGCGAACTGTTCCAGCTCCTCCAGGTCACTGGGTTCCTCGGGGTGAGAGGTCACTGAGGGCATTGTGGTCACACCTCCACCACCGCTCACCTCCACACTCTTATCGCGCTGTAGCAGGTACGACGTCAGAGGAGTGAAAGTGAGAGCGAGAGAGAAAGAGTGCGAGAGGAATAAGTTTGTTTATCATGAGTAGAGGGACTGGGTTGTCCTTTTCCACTGACTAAAGCTTGAGAGTTTCCTCATACCTGTGCTTGGAGTCCCATTCTACTCGGAGCAGACAGCAGGCTCCCTTGGTTTTGCTGAGGTAGCGGAATAAGATTTGGTGTCGATAGGAGTCCTGATGGGAAAATAAGCACATCATCAGCTGTAGTTATGACAAAAAAAGTAAATTTTAAGTTAACATCCATATCTGATGGGAGAGGTGTCCCCACCTTGCTGAGCCTGCTGCGGCTGTGGGAGGAGGAACTGGGCAGGAGATGGGAGCGAATGGCCGGGCACCAGCACCAACTGTTGAAGCTGCAGCAACTGCTGGATGTCCTGTCCAATCAAGAGAGAGTGTATGTGTTCATAATTTCTTATGAATTCATAAGGAAAGATAGAGGTCTGAGGGTGAAAAGCGTGTTAGTATGTTATCTTCTGACTTTGATTAATTTTGATCATTTTGATTAATTGTTTTATTGATTTTTTTCACCATTTCCAGCTGTTCAAATGTGAGGAACTGCTGCTTCTCTCCTTTAAATCATATCTTTGACTGTTTATCAGTTCTGAAATCTTTTATCAATCAATCAAACTTTATTTGTATATCACTTTTCATACTGCTTATTGCAGATCAAAATACTTATAAATAAAAAGAAAAAAGGGAAAATCAAACAAGAAAGCTGACAATGAGATACGATAAAATACATTTAAAAAGCTAGAATAACATTAGCAAACAAAAAAACAAATAAGAAAATTAATAATAAAATGACAGATAAAAAATAGAGTAAAAAATAATTTAAACTTTTAGACTTCCAAAATAATTGACATCTGACGCCATCTTATTGTTCTCATCTTATCTTCTTTGAAAAGCGTGTTAGTATGTTATCTTCTGACTCCAGCTGAGGAGAGGAGCAGATTTGGACGTTCAGAAAACATACAAGTAAGAGGAAAAACTTTGTTATTGAATAACATGAAGACAAGAAAGGGAAAGTATGTGTATTCATGCAAGGTGGAAACTGTGAATCAGGAAATATACGACACACATGCAAGAAGAATTGTTCCGCGGCCTGATACAGTTTCCTCAATCAACCCGCTCATCAGGAAGTGGCTTTGATTGGCAGTCAGTACCTGGGCGGTCAGCTGGATTGGCTGGGACAGGGTAAGCTGGGGTGGAGGAGGTGGGACAGGGACACTTTGGGCTGTTTGTTCCTGTGTGCTCTGTCCCTGTCCCTGGGACTGCGACTGAGCCTGCTGACCCGTCTGTCCCGCCTGCTGCTGCTGCTGCTGCTGCTGGGCTTGCTGATTTGCTGCTGCGGCTGCCTGAGCTTGCTGATTGGCTTGGGCGGCTGCATGGGCAGCATGAGCGGCGTGGGCTGCATTGGACTGCTGCACAGCTGCAGCCAGGAGCTGCGCCTGAGCCTGCTGCAGCAACAACTGCTGCTGTGCTGGCAACAGAGCTGTCAACTGGCGAAGAGAAAGAGATGAGAGGAGAGGAGGGGAGAGGAGAGGAGAGGAGAGGAGAGGAGAGGAGAGGAGAAAATATAGAAGGAAATGGGCAGGAGGAGACAAAGAAGGAAACAAAGTGTTCAAAAAGAAGCACAAGAGAAGCAAGCAAGGTAAAAGCAAAGCAAAGTGTGTGTGTGTCTCTGCACATGTAACATAAGTTTGTCTTACCCCTGCTAGTTGGGAGCCGGTCAGCATGAGCTGTGTATGTTGTAGGGCCGTCTGTGATGGGGTCGGGCCGTGAGAGGGAGGAAGGGCTGGGGACATCTCGCCGCACTCCTCCATCTTATTCTGTGAGGAGGACAGGAAACACAGGGACAAACATAGAGGAATATTGATTTAATTAAACAAATATGTATCCAAAACATAAATCCTAAATCACCTTTCTTCCCTCAAAACATTTCCGTTACTGCACTGCTCAAAATTGTAGTTATACTGCTCCTTTCCAATGTAATGCAATTGTAAAAAGCAAATCTGCACTAAAAAGAAAAACCATATCAAACACCAACTGGTCAAAAGGGCCGATTAGAAACATACAAAGACAAGTACATTGGCTTACCTGGCTATTTAAGGTCATGATAGGCAGTGTTGATTATTTAAAGTTTATGTGTAATTTCAAATAACGCTCATAAGCTGATCAGAAACGTGTCTCAGGACACGAGTCTACTAGTCTCTCTTTTTCCCAGGATCAGGCATGTTTGAACTGGCAGAGGGGGGGACTCCTCCGGCTCACTGATTTACATATCTCCTGTGGTATGCAAATGAGGAGGATTTCACTGTTTGGTGTGTTGTAGCATTATAGATTTATTTCAGTTCTGAATGTGCTCTCTGAAGGGAGAGTGCCATCATACTCTCTACTCTTTGTGAATCTGTTTACATTCGAGACTGAGTAGAGAGTCGACACATTATGAACCTCAACGTCGAACGCGACAAAAGAGCAATTCAGTGCAAAGAAATGAATTCAAAGCTGAGGCAGCTATACTGTCAAGAAACCTATTGTGTGATGTTAAGATACAAAAGATGCACAAACATAGGCCTAGACATGCACAGGCAGTTCAGTATAATGGACACACACACACACACACACACACACACACACACACACACACACACACACACACACACACACACACACACACACACACACACACACACACACCTCTCGCGCTCACCTTGCTGCTGCTCAGGGTCGGTGACAGGGGAAAGGGATTGACTTTCATTGACTGAATCATAGAAGAGAAGAAACAGACATGACTTCATATCAGAAATGACCAAAAATAACTTTAAAAGCATTCAATTTATTTTCTAATGAAAATGGATGATTTATCAACAGAAAATATTTTTTTAATTAATTTTGATCATTTTGATTAATTGTTTTATTGATTTTTTTCACCATTTCCAGCTGTTCAAATGTGAGGAACTGCTGCTTCTCTCCTTTAAATCATATCTTTGACTGTTTATCAGTTCTGAAATCTTTTATCAATCAATCAAACTTTATTTGTATATCACTTTTCATACTGCTTATTGCAGATCAAAATACTTATAAATAAAAAGAAAAAAGGGAAAATCAAACAAGAAAGCTGACAATGAGATACGATAAAATACATTTAAAAAGCTAGAATAACATTAGCAAACAAAAAAACAAATAAGAAAATTAATAATAAAATGACAGATAAAAAATAGAGTAAAAAATAATTTAAACTTTTAGACTTCCAAAATAATTGACATCTGACGCCATCTTATTGTTCTCATCTTATCTTCTTTGGCGGATCAGTTATGTAGGTGCAAGAGGTGGGAGATAAACGTAATAATCACAGGACTCAGATGTACCTGGTGATTTGATTCAGGTCCATTCCGCTCAGAATCTGCGTGGGAGGGAAAGGAAAAAGTGAGAAATCGATTGCGTGTTAGAGCACAAATGCGACATATGGTGTCACGCACGGTCAACTTTTTATATTCAATATACATGTACCCACAAGTGGATGTGTTTATTTGCATCTTACCTGTGCCCTCCAGTGGTGAGTCAGCCCCTACTTTCTCGACCTCGACTGGCTTTGACATCCTGATATCTGAAACAGGAAGACACACAGATAAACAACAGTCAGTCAGGCTGACTCTTAATTCTGTGTTAGACAAGAAAAAGCAGACGGAAGCAGAATAATAGACATTTACGAAACAGACGATCAGAATCTGCATGACGAGAGGGGAAAGAAGATGCCCTGGGTGTTGATCTTAGATAGGTTAGGGTTGAGTGTTTTCAGGTCACAGAGCAGGCCTACACGCTGTACAGTGCAGCTGAATCATTCACAGGTTGTGTGCAGCCCACATTCATTCACTCTTTCCAATTAGTGGTTGAACATAGAGTAGGCTGACCCAAGGTGTTTGCTTGTTCTAAATTTAACTCAATGTGTTTACGTGGGAGCTTTGCAACTAAAAATGTCTCACGTTGTGTGTCATTCATTACAAAGACCACATCACTTCCTGGTTGATTGGGACAGTCCCTGCAGGGAATCAAAAAAATGTAAGTCTTTGACTCTATTTATCAAAGAGAATGGAGCATTTTTGGCAGAAAAGGGTGTAGGAAAGATGGGAATGTGAATAATTTGAGTGGAGTTTTGAGAGAATGTGCGGTGTGTGTGTGTGTGTGGGTGGGGGTTGTGCACATATATACTTGTGTGTGTAGTAGTGATAGTAGTTTTGTTTTTGTTAATCATGCACTAATATCATCTCACTATAAAAGCCTTTTTATTCGTCTGAAACCACAAACTGTAAGACAACTTTTTGTTGTCTCTCTTCTCTCTCTCTCCCGGACAAGCATGTGTGCATACACACACATACACACACACACACACACACACACACACACAGCTACTTCCCTTTTGTGAAAACATGCAAATCTGCCCAACGACCAACTAATTATATCTGCCACCTGCATAATAAACTCTCAGTCTCCCTCCTCCTTTTCCTCTCTCCTCTTTCACCCCCCCCTCTCCCCTTTGTTTGTCCTCTCTTCATCCTGTTGTTTCTCATGTTGAAGATGAGAGCGCTGACACGACCTCAAATGGTAATTTCGCTATCACCATATTGCTGTGCTTTTATCAAAATAACACACAAAATACAGAAATTACTCTTATTTGACCTTCTGCAATGCCAATAACAAAGTGGTATAACCTGGTTTTCACCATTGGGGGGCAGCAGTGGTACATGGAGAAGATTACAAACCTGTTCCACTGACCAGCACTGATCTGATGCCAGTTTTAAAGTCCAGTGCTGTCTTTATAATTAAAGTCTATACGACAGATAAAACGCGCCACTCCCGGATGAGAGCCACAGAAACACATTTGTTTCAGTGAAACAGATGTGAGAACAGCTGACTCTGGTACGTGCAGTGTCTTTAGGGGAAGGGGGAAGTGGCGATCATCTCGAAAAGCTATACTCTGTCACGACACGATTATAACCTGGGGTCAGGGTGCACACAGACACACACATGCACACGCACGCACACACATGCACACACACACACACACACACACACACATGCTGACCACAGGATTTCCCTCAAATAAATGGACTTCTGCAAAAAAGCTAAATTGGTGTGTGGATGCAAATATCTGGTTAATCTATTATTGGGGTCAATTTGTGGATATTCCAGCATTACCTACAGCCTGTTTTGGCTATAAATAAAATCATAAAACTGTCCGATGTTGCTCAATGTCCAAAACCACTGAATCTGCAGCAACATGCAGCATCTTCCCCTCAAGATGCACATATTTAAAACTCTGTTGAAAGGAAACACCTCACGATGCACAACAGAGTTAATAATATACTGTACATGTCACTTCTCTTACACTGGACTATCTTGTGATCAGCAGGTGAAGTGAAGATTGTTGAGCTCCTAAAGCTGAAGTTTTCTTGTACTGTACTCTTTGTTTGTAAGGAAGGTGTGATTTGATTCATGTTTCAAAATGGCCTACAGACAGTAGCGTGGTGGATAATGTGGTCAGTAATACAGTGGTGGGACAGTATATCAAGTTGCTGTGTCTTTTTCTCACTTCCCCTCCCGACTTCCCCTTGTACTGGGTTGAACGCAGAGTGCTAAACCCAACACTTACTGTCAGTGAGGCTATTAATATTAGCTTGCTCTCTCTCTCACTCTCCCTTGCTCTCTTTCACTCTATCTTTCACACACACACACACACACACACACACACACACACACACACACACACACACACACACACAGATACACTACTAATTTTACTTATTACACAGAGCAGAGTTAGCTACATGTTATAAATGTTTTTACAATTTCAGTATAGTTATGGTTAAATAAGCATGAGAATAAGAGGCTTCATCTCTTAACAGTGGCTCCTTGTTTTGTATTTTCACATCGGGTACGAATTGCATTTACAGAAACTTTTTTTTAACAAGTACAAAGTTTAATTACTATGTCTCTTTCATCCATCATTAAGCTGTTAAAGCGTATGCTAATCTTACAGCAAAGCTCAGGGATTATCTTTTACCCAGCGAGAGCAGTGTGCTACACCTTACTCACTGTATCTTAAATAGACCAAATTTAATGCTGTATAATCCTGTGTCATGAATAAATGATGCAACAGAAAGGAACAAGGAACAACAGTGTCTGTGCTCAGTCTGGACTGTTTCTGTTATTCTCCTCTGGGTATTTTGGCTGAGATGAAACTCCAATGCAACCAACCTGAACCCCGCTACCCCCCACCACCCCTCACCCCATTTCCTGATTCAGGACGCAACTGTGGCACCAAGGGGGGTGTCTGGGAACTGGAGCCATCACACCAACTAACTACGGATTTCAAAAACCAAGCCGTGCTGAGGGGTGCCGATTTTGATTGTAAAAACATTTTCCACTTAAAACCGAGAGAGTCGACTATCCAGCTCAACGCCTTTTGCACATCTCTGTGAAGATGAAGTAGTGAGCGGAGGTCAAAATTTGAAAATAAAATAAATGAATAAGTAGATGAGGACAGGATTTAAGAAGAAATCCTGGAACTGAAAAAGAAAATCTAACAATAAAGTGAGAAGCTGAAGAAAAATTTGAGATGTCACAGCAGCAGCGGGATGACCATCAAGGTTGTGGCATTTCGTTACAGTCCATGCCACGGATGTTGTTGTTGTGTTGTCTGTCAGGTTTGTCTGTGACACTCTGGACTTAAAATGTTAAATATGAGCTCATAAAACACCTAGTGAATAAAAGCAAATGCTACTGAAATAGAGACAGATGTGATTGTGTACCAATCAACAGAAACTAAATAATATGATAAAATACTAATTTCTCAAACATGGGCCTGTGCCAATAAGAGCCTTTCTGACAAATACCGTTCGAACCAATATGCAGAAACATGTTAATTTTTAGTGGTTAAATATATTTTCCACTTGTTGCATTGATGCACTTTGAGCAGATGAATAAGGTTGTACGTCACGCAGGCAAGACGGCTATTTTGACCATTAATTAAAATTGTGCAAATGCCACTCCGTAGACAAAGCAAACTCTTAATATTCCTCATTTATTCTCTATTAATTTTTGCACTAATTAGCAAAACTGCCAAACTGTTCAATTCAGCTTAACATGGCTTCAGACAGCAGCATGTAAATATAATTTTACAAAACGCCAAATTATTACTAAGAAAGATTCGTTTTAAAAAAAAATGGATTTAACTTAATTTTTTTTTTTTTTGCTCTAAGTCTCTGAACTATTGCACTTTGTTTGAATTGCATTGTCTCACCCTGGTCAGAGTAACTTACAGAAGGTCACAGCAGTGACCACATCAAGTTAAGAAATGACTTGCTGATTTTTAAACCCTGAATCACTCCTTGATAAACAAACTGCCACAGAAACATGTCATTTTTTGGAAACCATTTTAAGACATCAAAGACTGAGAATTATGAGCTAATTGACATTTAAAAATTGATTTCTGATAATTTGGTGAGTCAGCTAAGTGTGCTGTGCTTTTCTCTGGGACTTGTCGTCGGTCAGCTGAGACTGTGTCTGCTACTTCTCACAGCCTGAGATGACCACCAAAACAAGGACGAAGGGCTTCTGCTTTCCCTGCTAACCCTGCTTCTTATCATTTTCTAAATACTGAGAATGACAGTTTCCTTTTTTGAAAAAAAAAAAAAGAGTATCTTTGTATCTGATTGCTTTAAAATGTGCTTTGAATTCAGTGAAATTCAAATTTAAAAATGGACAAAGCAATAATCATAGCAACACCCACATCTCCAACACACACACAAACACAGAAAGTTTGCGCCAGTTTCACCAGTTGCACGGGAAGAAACCTTTTCAGCTGAATATCTATAAACTGAACATAAATGTATTAGTGCCGTGGTGCTTGGCAATAAAAAGAAAAGGTGTTTTCTAACGACAGAAAAATAATCACAATATAGAAAAACACTGGCAAGACACACAAGCTGCAACACTGATTTTTCTTCACTGGTACGTTTCAGAAGACATTTCAAAAAACTTCCACTGTATTCCCCCAAGCTTTTTTAGCATTCAGTATTCAGTATAAACACACACACACACAGACATGCTATGGGCTATGGGTGTCTGACCTTTCCCTCTGGCTGCGACAGGCGTCCATCTATCCATCATCCCTCCATCCATCCCCATCTTTCTCTTCGTACCACCTCTCGCTCTTTGATGTTCTCTAATTAGCTGAGCTTCTTAGACCCAGTGGCATTAATCAACAGCGTAGACACAGTTCTCTTCCTCTCTCTCTCTCTCTCTCTCTCTCTCTCACACACACACACACAACGACTCTCTCTCTCTCACACACACACACACACACACACCACACAGACACAGACACACACACACACACACACACGCACACACTCACACACACAGAGTTCCCTCTCCCTCACGTAAAGCTTAATTGGTCTTGGTAAATGAAGGCCAGCAGAGAGAGAGGGCTGCACAGACAGTCACTCACCTGGCAACCACATACTGGAGAAGTCCTTTGATGCTATTGCTGCTGTCTTGGTCATTTCTGTGTCTGTGTGAGAGTGTGTGCGCTACGTAAAAGAAAAACTCTCACTCTCCCTCTCTCTGACTGTCTCTACCCAAAAAAGGAGGAGTGTATTAAATCATATGCGTGAAACAATCACTCTCTCTCTCCCTCTCTTTCTCTCACACACATGACACCCCAAGCCCCACCTCCCACATCCTGCAACACAACAGGAAGTAAGCCTCAAAAGAGTAGGAACTCAACACACAGTAGAGAAAAATACAATACAAAAGAAAAAAAAAGAGAAAGGGGGACACGCAAGAGGTTAGAGAGTGGGAGAGTGAGTGAGCGAGGAGATTGAAGAGATAGACGAGGTGAAAAAGAGGGGGATGACGGGTACCGATGGAAAGTGATGGCGCGGCTGGAAACAGCCACTCACACACACACGCTCACTCACTCAGACACGCAAGAGAAAAACAGCAGGCTTGACATTCTGACCGAAGAGTGTGTGATACATTTGTGTGATTTATGATCCAGTCTACCTTCAAAACATTTCCAAAACTCAGCTGATCAGAGTTTTTCCTCAACACTAAGCTATTCTAACAGGTACACGTTGCCTGTTCTGTCTACCATGAGTCATGACCATCTCTTCCTCGGTCATATCTGTGCTCATGGGGTAGCTACTAGCAAGTACATCAGTGGGCGTAAGGTGGTCTGTTGAGGGAGGTCGGCACCAACAAGAGAAGATGTGAGACATCCTCTGCTAAGTTTGCCAGCCACAGCTCTGGTCTACCCCAGCGGAAGGAAAAACTCTGTCACAAGGCTCACTGTACCACTGACCATCCCACACTGTGGGTTGCACACAGAGATACACCACAGAAACCTACAGGAATCCCATGAATCTCTACACGTGACGGATAGATGAGGCATGAAAGTGGAATATAGCAGATAACCTAGATGTGAACCACTATCAGTGCCGCCCACTAGGATTAACAGACTAAGATGCTCCTAAATAAGTGAAAATACTAAGGTCGGCGAATGATCTCAAGGAAGCAGAACAGCATGTTTCAGCAGAAATACTGCTTAGATTTTCAAATGTGAAAGTGTCGATGTGCTGCTCTGACTGTAGGCTGAGATCACCACAAGGTGGCACTCTTGATTCTCTAATTCTGATGAACAGACCGGCTCCATCCCTCGAAGAGAAGAGGAGAGGAGGCTGATCACCCCTCCCTCCCCTTTCCTTCTCCCTTGGTCTGAGTTCACTAATTCAAAAGCTAACGGCAGCAGAGTTCCCAAGTTTAACCTTATAAATACTTTATGTGGTGATTTACAACAGCCCCATGTACTGCTGGATAGACGCTCACTAAGAAGTGCATATGGCGGTGCACTCAGGGTGCTCTCCATTACACAGACATCTTTTTTAAATCTGTCCTCAAATACAAACAAACACTAATGTACTGAAATGTAAATATATATTTACCATGAGGACAATATCAGTATAAAGACTTTGGAGAGATTGAAACAGATCTTTCCGACAAACTCACAAAAGCATAAGATTTTTAATAAATTGGCTGGATTTAAAGCTGAAACAGTTAGTTGACTGATTGGTGCATCAATCAAAAGGAAATTAATCAGCTAATATTTGTCTTTGAGTTGTGACCTGATGACCACATAAGCTCTGAGGATGACATCTTGGACTTTGGAAATTCTGATGCTCATTTTTCACAATTTTTGGACATTTTTAAGACAAACAATGAATGACATAATTGAGAAAATAACTGACAGATAAACTGAAAATGAAAATAAACATTACAGCCATTACTGAATTTGCTTGCTCAGTTCTTCCATTTTTTGTGGTGCCAATCAAACAAATAGCTCAGACAAGTCTGTGCCAGTTTTGCCAGATTATTTATGTGATAATGTTTCTGCCTTCATCAGTACATGATTGGCCAGATTTGTTTGTCTACTTGTAAGTAATCAGTGGAGAGCGAGTGTGTGTGTGGATGTGTGTAGGAGTGAACCAACTGGCCAGGCCTGTCCAAGGACAGTGACAGACTGCACGTTGGAGAGGGGGCGTTTCTCTGGGTCAGAGGTCGTCTGGGCAGCCTGGCTTTGGCCGTGACCTTTGTTCAAACCCCAATCTACCCACATCACTACCAACGTGTGCGTGTGTGTGTATAACTGTGTGTGTACATTTGTTTGAGAAGCTCTAATAGTGGGCTGGTGAATCTAAGTTGGCTCTGGTTATGTGTGTGTACTGTACAGTTCATGGCCATGGGGGGCCTTCCCGCCCCAAGGAGGTCTGAGCCTTGGTTACCATGGAGACCAGACCTAGCAACACTCCAGCCTTGCCACTTAGATGACACTGGGCCGACGGCAAACAATTTGAGTTGAAGTTGACAAATTAATATATACTACATAACGAACTGTGATATTATTAACTCAGAAAAAAAAAAAAAATTATAATTGACATTTATTTTTTATTATTTCTATAAGGGAATATGAGCTATGTTAATGAAGAGTGTTTTTTGGCCACTGCTAGAAGTTATGTTCGTAAGATAATAAACACACACACGTGCACACACACATATGTGTGTATATATATATATATATATATATACACACACACACATACACAATCTGATAGTGGGACCCCAGGGAGGAGGATGGGGGGAGGCGGAGGCCTCTAGAGCGCCATCAATCACTCCACTGTCACAGAGAGAGGGAGAGGCAGAGAGGGAGGATTGGGGGTTACTAAGAGAGAAAAAGAGGAATAGTGAAGAAAAAAAGGAAGGGAGAGAGTGATGGGAATGAAGGTGAGTGATAGAGAGACAAGAATAAAAAGACTGGAGAAGGGATGTTAGCTGGGGGTGAGGACGGGGAGAGAAAGATGGAAGGATAGAGAATGTGTGTATAATGGGTCATTGCAGGGACAATTCTGAGGTCTCCAAACCTGCTCAGTAACCCTCTGCAACTCTGCCCTACTATATCTAATGCAGCCTCAGGCCCAGAGCACACACTGGCTCTAATTCATATAATCCATCATATTCCTCTTCTTATAGAGGGGACAGAGCACGGCTCAGTGATGGACCAACCAAGGCCTATGCACAGTCCAACAGCAAGACTCTATTCTACAAGGTGAGAGATTTAAAATCCAGTCTAGTGCATGAGTGTGTGTGTGTGTGTGTGTGTGTGTGTGTGTGTGTGCAGGTGTAGCCCCATGAGGAGTAGCAGGATTATAAACAGTAGGTCTAGCAGTGTGGAGACTACAGAGGTTGAGGTTTTGTATGAGAAGCAGCAGGGGCTAAAACACACTCACACTGTTGGCTACCATGGGACCTGTGCCATCTCACACACACATGCACGCTGCCTACACCTTTACAACACCTATTCCACTCCTGTCCTAATACCTCTCAATCGCTCCTTTTCCTCTGGCCCCTCCGCCTCTCCATCCTTCTCTCACACCATTCCTCTCCTTTCTATATCATCTTGGCAGCCCATAGGGAGCTGGGCTTGTCTAGACAGACACCGCTCTCTCCCACGGCGCTACCAAGGTTGAAGCCCATATCTTTTTCTTTGCTCTTCTCACCCATCTTCTTCTTCTTCTTTGGCTCTTTCACAAAAGAGTGAAGGGTCTACTGGGAGGGACCCGTGGCCTTCATTGCCAGCTCAAGGAGCACTGAGGACGCTTCAGACCAAACTGTTCACGTACACTGACAAAGCAGGCTGCTGTGTTAAATTAGTCCTCAGATTCTCCCTATTATAATACAAAGAAGTGGGTACTTTAGTTATGGCAACCATGGTCTTTGCACTCCTTCCGCCCATGTGTTCCCTCTTTCACCTTGGTCTCTTCTTCACCTGCTGTACTTCTTTTTCTTCAAACCCTCTCATCATCATCCCAGTCTCTCTTTTTTTATTTTTTATTTTTTTGAGACCTTCCTCCTTTTCTTTCTCCAATGCAAACTTTCTCTTCTCCTCCTCTGTCTCTCTTTCTCTCTCAGACCTGCTGGTCAGCAGCAGCTGTGACATCACTGGCCACTGTTCTCAGCTCGGATTGGACACTCGGCCACGTTGCCAGGCAACAGCAGTGAAAGGTCTCAGTGTGAGCGTGTGTGTGGCGTGCGCATGTATGTGTGTGTTTATGTCTGTTTATAGCTACGTGAGTGAAAGGTGTGTGAGTGATTTTCCTCGCCTTGCCCTTTATCTGTGCATGAAGAATGATCAGAACAGATCTACTTCTATGCTTTATCTCAGATCAAAGCATGTAGATGATTGGGCTGCCTCACCACTCTCCTTCACCACAGAAGAAGAGGGATGTGTGTGCATTGCGTTAATGAAAAAGAAAGATGGTACGAGTGCGAGTATGTGTCAGTGTCTGCACTTGCGTCGAACCAAATAAATGTGTATCTTCGTGTCGAATACGGGTATGTGTCTGTATGTTGTGTGTGTGTGTGTGTGTGTGTGTGTGTGTGTGTGTGTGTGTGTGTCTAAATGTGTGTGTGTGTGTGTGTGCGTATGTATGTGTGTAAGCCCCCGGGAGAGGGTGGTTATTGTATCTGACACAGCGGCTCTTTCTCGCGCCTCATATTTCTGGGCCGATCGATTCCTCTGACTCCCGACAAGACAATAATCGCACCTCCCTCTCTCACTCCATCACTACCATTATTACTGACCTCCCCAGGGAACGGACAGGGTGGAGGGAGGGAGAGAGGGATGAGGAAGGAAGGAAGGATGGAAGGAGGGAGGGTGAGG